TTTAATTTAGTTTGTTTATTTTTTATTCCAATGAACGTCTACAGAGATTCTGGAATTCTATTCACTCATTGTTGCACCCTTCTCCCTGCACACCCCTCCCCCCCCCAATTTCCTCCTCTCCTTGAAAAGCAAAAGAAAAACTCCCTCATTGGTACACAATCCAACCCCGCACCTCCCCAAACCCCACCCCCTACCCCCAAATATAATCCACTCTGCAACCCTCATTGTGTACTCCTACGATAAAAATAATGCCCTAAAATATAAAACTTTTAGACTATTAAATTTTTTACACTTGTCTCCAGCCAAGTCCAGAGCCAACTGGAAAGTGAGCCTGGAGGTCTGTCCCAGAAAGCAGTGAGTAGAAGGAAAGAAACCGTACCCAACTTGTCTCTGCCCAGGTACTTGTTTCTTATGACTGATCAGCAGTGATTAGAGGGATGGGAAGCCCACTCCCAACACTCTCTGCTCCAAGTACTTGCAGCTTTCCACAGTGAGGTGAATACCTTGAGGCCACACTACCCAGACCCAGTCCAGAAGGGAACCCATATTCCTCACTCTCTGAACTGGAGGACCACAATTTCACAGAAGAAGCAGACAACGTCAAACTCCACCAAAAATATCAAAGCAAGATGTCACCCCCAAAAATGTGATCAAGATACAAAATTAATGGATTCCTGTAGGAGGAAAGATTGATAGAACGTCTTGCTATGGAATTTGAAAAAAATAATGATCAGGCAGTTTAAGGAAGATATGGACAAAACCTTAGGGAAACTTAAAAAAGCAATACAAAATAAAGCAGATAAAACAAATGAAGCCCTGGGAGGAGAGAATATAAAATCAAGTAAAGCAATCCAAAATAATAACATCAACATTTCAGAAGCTGTCAAGATGTCAGAGGGACAATGAGTAGATTGAACAAATGGAACACAAAATCAGCAAAACAAAAGATAGTGCACTTAACATTGATCTGCTAGAGCAAAAGCAGAAATAAAAAGGAAAGAAAATGTAGAAAATCTAAGAATAAGATAATGTCAAGATGAATAATATATGTATATACGGAAGTCCATGTATATATGGAAGTCCAGAACTGAAAGAAGGGGGAAAAGACACTGCAAAATCATGGAAGAGTTATTAGGAAAAACCAACTTCCAAGTATCATGAAAAAAAAAAATAAAGAAATTATACTCAAGAAGTGACATCAACCCCCAATAAAATAGACTCTAAAAGGAAAATACTTAAAGAAGTTATATTCACCAGCATCAAAGAGGAGGAAAGAATTCAGAAAGCAGCTAGAGAAAAATGAAGAAGAACCTATAAAGGAAAGGAAATAAAACTAAGATAGGAATTTCTCAGCAGAAACCAAGTGAACGAGAAGACAACATACAAAAAGCACAACTGCAAAGAAAGAATACTGTATCCAGAAAAAAACCTGTCCTTCAGATAGAGAGATAAGGACATTTCCAGAAAAGCAGGAACTTAAGGGATTTCAAAAAAGAAGACCTATACAGCATGAAATATAAGAGAAAGTCTTTATCACAGAGAAGTTATCACAGAGAAGAAACGTGGATGGATGAAATTAACAAGCAACCAACAACAACAATAACCTAACCAAATGACAGCAGTAAAACTTGCCTCTCAGTGAAGATAAAAATATTATCCTTTTAGAAGATGAGGGGGGGAATAAAGCCCATCAGGTAAAAGTAAATCACAAGTTTGCACAATTTGGTGAGCGAAGGGAGTAAAAGAAATGGGAAAGATCCAGTGAGGATCTGAAAATATGGGGTAATGTGAGCATAGATTAATGGTGATTAATTTTATAAAACACAATGGATGACAAGGATTGTATGAAACATAAAGTCAATGAATGAAAGTGTATAGAATGTATATACACAATGTATAGAAATTTTTTAGATTGCCCATCAGTATGCTGTCTATAAGAGACACACTTGAAAAACTAAGATAAAGATGGACTGAAAATCAAAGGATAAAGGGGAAAATATAGTAAGCAAATGGAACGAAAGGGAAAAATAATCTCTGATAAAATAGACCTCATGGTGAAAACTCTTTCAAATGACAAGGAGGGACATGTAATGCTTAAAGTGACAATAGAACAAGAACTAAAATATACTATTAACCAACTTAATCTCATGGACATGTCCAGGGTATTATACCCTCAGAAAGTTCAATATACATTCTTCCCCAGAGTGCACAGAACATTCCTCAGAGTAGATCACGTTTTAGGTAACAAAGCAAGCCTCAATAAATGAAAAATTTTAAAAGAGTATAAAGAATTTTCTCAGATCACAATTATATAAAAATAGGAATCAACAATAAAAAGATAAGGAGTTTGGAATGGAAAGAGGCCCAGAATAAGCAAAGCACTCCTTAAAAATAGAAACAAGGTAGGAGGCATCTCACTCCCTGATTTCAATTTCTATTACATAGTCATGGTGGTCAAGACAGTGTGGTACTGGTACAATGACAGACACATAGATCAATGGAATAGAATTGAGAATCCAGAAATCAGCCCATCTACCTATGGTCAACTGATTTTTTTACAAGGAGATGAAATCAGTTAAGTGGGGAAATGACAGCCTTTTTAACAGAACTTCATCAACAGGGTAAAAAGGGAAGCCACAGACTGGGAAAAATAGTTGGTAATGACATGTCAGACAAAGGACTTATATCTAGAATTTATGAAATACTCGAGCACCACAACAAGAGAAAGGTAAACAACACAATTGAAAAATGGGCACAGGATATGAACAGACACTTCACCAAAGAAGAGATCCAGATGGCAAATAAACACATAAAGGAATGTTCAAAATCCCTAGCTCTAAGAGAGATGCAAATCAAAACAACTATGAGATATCATCTCACCCCAGTAACAATAGCAAAATTTAGCAGAACAGTAAACATCAAAAGCTGGTGAGGTTGTGGAGAAACTGGAATCCTTATTCACGGATGGCACTTTCTCAAAAAGTTGCAAAAAGAAATACCACTTGACCCAGCAATTCCACTACTGGGAATTTACCCTGAATAAACCATAATTGCCACCCAAACAGATACATGAACATGAATGGATGGAGAAGCTCACACAATGGAATACTATGCTGCATTAAAAACAAGGAACTCATGACATATTATGCAAAATGGAAGACCCTAGAGGACATTATGCTGAGTGAAATATCTCAGTCACAAAAGGACAAATATTGCATAGGGCCACTGTTGTAAAATGGGACAGACAGGAGGGTTGAAGGAAGGCAGAGAAGGAGGGGAGGAATGACCCATACTATATTGAAACAGATGAGGGAGAGAATTGTTTAAAAGGGCTATATGATTGGGTATTATTGTCATGACAGGAGTCCAGAATGAAGGCTGCACAGTGGAGTAGACTTGTGGGGAGGGATTGCATGACAATGAAAGAGTTTTACTTTTCAAAGAGAAGAGTGAATTGGGGGGATGGAGTGGACAGGGAGAAAAGGGCAACAATGAATGACTGGAAACCCTAAGT